CGCTCTAGTCACAGATTTATTTTCACGGTTTTCTATGACCCGCTTAGCAAAGAGCTTTAAGAGCCCCGACTTTAAGAGCCCAGAAAGTGAGGAGCAGAAATTCGATGACACCACACTTGAGGCAAAGGATCTGCTGCCAAAAGCCTCGAGTTATGTCCTGGCCAGAAGAATTCCGTCTAGATGGTTGCTCAGACATTTTGCGGGCGTGTGTGTGTCGACAAGAGTATTTCTGTGAACATAATCTGGCTATCGCACAGACACGTATCTCAGATTTAATGGTCAACCAAAGGCAATTTGGCAAATTATTAGAAAATCATTGTGTCACTTTATGTGCCGGACAAGGAAATATGAGTGCCTGTGGCTCGGAATACGGCCCACTTCAGCGTCTGTCAGCTACACAATTTTCCGGGGCTGTTGACCCAAAGTGGAATTGGTTTTCATATAACCACCACGAGACCATGCCATATTACAGTATTAACCATGAGTAATATTTTAGCTCAAGAGCTGGTCAAAATCAGCCAGGGAGATGGGAATACTTTGAGTAATCGAACAATTGAGATGGGCAAAAGGAGAGTGCGGGTCAACAAATTATGCGCAGTTATTGAAAAAGTTTTTCAATCTCGCAAAAAGCTTTGCCAGAACCAAACTAAGCCACGACAAAGGGGTTAAAAATATGAGAAAGATAATAAAAATGAGTGCCATGCCGACTTCAAACATCAGCGTTTCTTCGCCAACATTATTTTGCCTGGTATTCAAGGTCCCAGGGAAGATAAGCCGCTGCGAGCAAAACCAAAATTGGGCTACCAGAATAAAGCCCAAGACGAAGTCAAGCACAAGCAAAAACCCAAAAAATATACTTGTATACAAAAAAAGAGCGGAACGGAACAAAAAGCGACCAAATAAATATACACAAGAGGACCGGCTCTGTTGTGGCGCTGTGGCCCTGAGCCTTCGGCGATTTTTCACAACACAATTTAACAAATAAAAGCAGAGGGAAAACTACAAAACAAAAAAAAGAATAAATAAAAGGAAAAATAAACGCAAAAACTTGCCTCAAAAGACGCACACAAATAAAACAATAAAAGGCCCACACACTCACCCACCGGCAAGAAGGAGAACAACAACAAGTTTATTACAGATTTTACTTATGTGTTTTTGGTTGGCTGGGCCGGGCGAAGGTTGATGTTTTTCCTGGGGTTTTCCTTGGGTTTTCGCCGGCTGGGTGGTCCCTTTTTACCGCAGGGCATTAATAAGGAGCACAACATGGCGGCACAATGCTAGCGGAAGTCAATGACATGTGCTCTCCAGAAATCTCCCGTTGATGGGAATGACAAATCCCGTTGATATTCTAGGCCTCTCATATAAATTTTCATGAAAACGGAAAACTTGCTGCGAGGTCATACTTAATATCCTTGAAACCAGGAAGGGGCAGCCTTGAAGGGACATTAAAAAGGATTTGGACTTGCGCAAAAAAAAAAATATAACAGTCAAATTTGATACGTTATAAGTTACTATAGACTTACTCTGAAATTTACATTTAATATATTAAAACAGAATATCCTCTATTCAATTAAATTAACGCCCATGAAAAAGTTTGTTAAACTTTTCTGCGAAACATGGCAAGAAATCAATTTCGTAGCCTATTTCAGGCACCTCCAAATGGGCCTAAAATCCTGACGTGGCCTACACCTACGCAGTTTTCTTTTTGGTTTCCCGTTATCGATATGGCTTTCCGTCCACCCACATTTTCTGCCAATATTTCAGTCACGCGGGACCGTCGAACTGATGCTGCTGCCAAATTGCTGGATCTCTCAGTCTGACAGTCGAAAGCCAGAAATAAACTTTAATTTGAAAACTTTTATGCGCAGCAAATAAAGGCAAATCGATGGCTGAGAATCAACCAAGTGTCGTGGCAAATTGTTCGCCAAGTGTTGGACATTTTGCTTAAAGATGCCAGACCTAGAAAGCAGTTTAAGTCCCACATGCATATCCACGTGCATATCCCGCACGTGCCTGACATTGACACAGATGCTGGGCTGCAGGGTTCATGCAGGATAGCTGACTCGCGCAATTTTCCGGACTGTGCACTTAAAAAAATATCGGATCTAACTACAAGAAACTACTACAAGCCAGATTATACCTTTTCATTGAATTTCAAGACCAATTTATCATTTGTAAGCAGTGTAATCAAATGGCGAATATGGACGCTTTGTTTACAAGATAATGTCCAGAAATATGTACATTACATGAGTCAATGGTTTTCCTTTCAATGTACAGTTCTCACATAATTATTTCCAGTGTAGCACCACACCAGCATCGAGCGCATGTCGCTCACAGAAGGCGAACTCCATGAAGGGGAGGGTAAAGCGGAAGTTTATTAAAACTACTGCAAACAAAGGGGCGCAATGGGATAGGAAGAGAAGATATAGAGGGTAAAATGCATTGAAAGGAGCACAGAAAGTGCACTTAAACAATAAACATGCCGTTCGTGAGCAAAAAGGATCCAAGGGATCCAAAGAGGCGCAAATACACCGAACGAACCAGCAGTTACATTTCCATACAAATAAAGCACAGAGCGCGATAGAGAAATAAATGCAGAGCATTACGTATACGCCAGCGTGTCTGGAAAAATGCAACCAGCCGCGACGGGCATGGAGATACAATTTTGTGTGTGTTTTGTTGCACCATTGAGCGCACCACTGAAGCAAAAAGCTGTTGCAAAGCAAAGAAACACATATACATATACACATACACATATATAAAAAGAGCACCAGCCGACTGAAGCACTCAAGGAAAAAATGCAATGGTGCAGCATTGGAAGGACAGGCATGTGGCCAAGTCCTTGCTCCGTCAACTGCATTTGCATCCGTTGATAAAGCCATGTTAGGTTCGAGGATCCGCTTTCGGGTTCGGGGCATCTAAATACGTTTAAAATAAATCACAGACGTATGCTGTGTGCTCTGGGAAAAAGCGGGGTTGCGAAATCCAATTTCAGCTTTTGCAGTGAGTGCGCCTTGAATTTTTGTTAAGCAGTTTGCTTTTTATATCCTTGCAGAGGGAATATAAAGTCTGAAAGTCAGCTTACAAGCTTCATACTAAAAATAATATGACCATCTGTGAAAAGTGTTAAAATTGTTTAGGGTTATGATATCTCCAGGTGGACTATTATTAAATTGAAACCTGATATTAAAAAATTCTAAAAGATGGGCACATTTTAAAGAAGTGTACAGGGTATTTCCTGGGTTGGGGTTTTAAACTGTTTTACTCGGCGACATTCTGCACTTAATTTTTGTTTCGTCTTTGTACTCTCCTGGAATTTGTATCCTTGTACAATGCACTCTAAGATTGCAGCATTGCATGTTATTCGCTTTGTGCGCAGCATTTGATTAACTAACAAAAATGTGCACTTGCATAAAGGAAACAAATGGCTCGCTCGGTCATATAAATATGCAATAAAGTCGACGACAAATTTGAACAAACAACCCTCGCTAATGTCTGACAATAAAATACAGCCGAGCAGTACAAGAAAAATATGGCACAGCAATTTGCAAATTATTTTCAAGCTGGCATAAAATAAACTGACAGGCACCCTTGGAACCCAGCCCCGCCCACCAAATAAGGGACACCACCACTGGTGGGATGCGTCAATCTTCTCCAGGCAAACAGACAGCTCACGTTGTTGCTGCTGTTGATATTTCCCCCATTTGTTGTTGGTTTTTGAAATCGACTTTCATGTCAATTGACTTGCGTACATTTGCCTGTCTGAATATCTCACTGGATTGGGTAGTCTGGGGGTGTTACGTATTAGGGGGTGGTGGAATGGGGCTGAATGTCGCCAAACTTATGGCCCAAATTTTACTGTTATGTAAGCAAACGGCAGCAGATGAAATGAAACGCCAGCTCCTCGATGATATTTGTCAATAAATTTAACGTAAACCAGCCAGAGCCTTTTTCCCTTTATTTGTATTGGTATATATGTGGAAGTCGGTGTATGTGGCCCAACATTTTTGTGTGTAATGGCAAGGAAATATTATAATATTATATATTACGAGTACCACATTTTTCTTAAATTGGTATGCCAGTTAGGTTTTAAATACCGGAAAATCATTCAACGGAGGGCCCAAATGTAGCCTGAAATATTTTGTAAGTTATCATAACAAGCTGGGAAACATTGTTAGGCTTATAAAATATAATATAATTGTTTTGTTAGGCTTAAAAACTATTTTACAGCCCATTATTATTATGCTATAAATATATTTAAGGTACAAAACAATCCATCAATGTACTGCAATCTTCCGAAACAAGTTATTAAAACTCCCCACCGGGTTATCAAAATGCCATACTCGACTTTAAGTAGACATTGACAAATTAATTTGCCACCATGGGGTTGTCCGAGGCCAAAAAAAGGCGGGAAACCAAACCGAAATCCACTTGGGAGGAAAGACAGTAGAAGCCAGGATGCGTAGCATACATTCGAGCGTCATTAGGCCGGCAATGAGTAAATCAAATTTGCGTCGTTTTTGGGCCAGCTGCTGCGGGTTGTCAGTTGACAGTTGGGTTGCTCAGTGGCCTTCCTGTCGCTTGTCTACGCCGGAAATGAAATGACCCAGTTAAATGATTTATGGCAAGAGCCCATACACACACACACAAGGAGACCGTAGGCTTGGGGTTTATTACCGGGGCTCAATGGCGAGCGGCTGAGAGGATTGGAGAATATCCCCTTCAGCTTGTATCCTGAAAACCATGGCGTGTTGAAATTATAATTTCATTAGCTGCAATCAACATAAAAATAACACTAAAGGCAACTGCCAAAGCGCTCTGATGTCGTAAAGCCAAAGTAGAAATTAAAATGCGATGAACAGCAAGGAAACAGGAGAAGAACAGGGTGAAAAGATATTTAAAAGCAACTTCTACCTTTGCCACCTTTTCTGCATTCACACAGCACAACACACAGCTAACAAGAGCGTAATTACAAGCAATTTTTTTACGTTTTATTTCAGATTTTAAACACGCGATGACAACAACGCCGGGGGAGCACTTGGCATTGTAATGTGACAACAGTTGGCTGAGGACAACAAAACAATACCAAAAGCGGGCCATCAGGAGTAGCTGGAATGCTCGCTTTTTAATTGACATTTGCTCGAGTTGAGTTGAGTTGCGTTTTGTTCAACAGCAATTAGCATCGTGGAAAAGAAAAAAATTAATGAAAAAAAAAACAAAACAAAACGCAGAGCAAAACACAAAGCAGCGCAATTAAAATTGTAAAACAATTGCAAAACGTTGAATTGAAAAGGGGAAACAATAACAGACGACGACGACCCGGAATAGAATGATCAAGTTGATTTAATTAAAAATTCAGCATCACCCTCGGCATCCGTGTGCAATGGCATTTGAGCACGCTGCTTGAGCAATGGCCGCCGGACCGGAAACGCAGCCATTGCCCTCGGGCAACATCCGCCTCTGACTGCCGCCGACACTTGTCACATGTTTGGCCAAAAAGGCGCGCACGTGACGCCCCCGGAAAACCAGATGAACGAACGGATGAACGAGGAAATGAATGAGCTAGCAGCCATATTCAAAATTGAACGTTAAACGTTCGCACGTACCGAGCATAAATTCCAAGTGAAATAAAAGATCCAAAAAAAAACAAAAAAAAAAGAAAATATAACCGAAACGAAAGAAACGAGGACCTCCCCATTTAAACCACCAATTCAAAAAAAAACGGTTGAAAGTGGGTCGCAAAATGGTGAAAATCGTGAACCAACACTGTGATCTAGGCCTGGCCCTCCTCTTTGCCTGGACGTGGCTAACAAGGCTGGTGGTGGCGGCCCATCTGGTCGACATCCCCACCTCATCACGCCTGGCCGCCGAGCGGGAGGAGCTGCAGTTATCCCGGCAGGACGTGGGACGGCTCAGCTACCAGAGTATCCATCGCATGCTGAGGGACGAAAACGAACCGGCCAGCATTCGGGGGGAATTGCGATACCAACAGAAACGCCACAAAAGGGAGCTGGAGCTGAATGCTCCGGCAAACAAACTTAATCTCACCCACCGCGACTTGAGGACATTCAATAGCACTGGTGGTCAGTGGAAGGGCGACTGTCAGGTGATCACAGCCATGGATCTGAGCAGCAATCAACTGGAGAGCATCAGCTTGGACAAATTCAATCAACTAAGGCAGCTGGACTTGGGCAATAACTCCCTGGAGGTTATACCCCTGAGCTTGGCCGACAACAATAAGTCACTACCCTTTGTAACGCTCGATCTATCCTGTAATAAATTCTGCCAAATGTCTACGAGCTTTTTTGCCCAGCGATTGCCTCTGTTGAAACATCTTAACTTGGCTCACAATGAGTTGGTAAACATTTCGCGGGAATCCTTCTACAATTTGTTGGAACTACAAACGTTAGTTCTCAGTCACAACAAAATCTCGGATATAGACTATGAAACATTTTTGGCGCTACCGAATCTGCAATATCTGGATTTATCCCATAACCGCTTGAGTGGTTCCGCCATCCGAGCTCTGCAGGGAATTCCGGATTTGGTCAGCCTTTCTATCGCTTACAATCCTGATGTGGGAGTTGCGATGCAGGAGTTCGTCGCGTCCTGGAGCCTCAAGGAGTTGGATGCCAGTGGTACTGGATTGTGCCAGGTGCCTGCAGCTTTAGCCCAATCCGTGAGGACTCTCAGGTTGGCCGACAACTGGCTTAAGGTAAGTTAATGTACTATAATATAAAAATGGTATATTTTAAATTTGTAAGTGAAATTGATATGAACTTTGAACATCGCCGAACTTACTCATTAAGTATATTCCTGTTGGATCACTTGTTCACTATTTTAAGCTTTATAAGTAAAGGTTATCACAGAAATAGAAAAAGTCACCGTGTGGGAAAAATCTAAGGGAGCCCTATGCTTTGATCGATAAATTTCCAACTCGACTCCCCGAGTCGAGCAAGCCAATGAACCGCAATTCGACGCATTTGCCGGCAATTAACGGCACATTCCCGACAGACACTTGCCATCTTTGTCCTTGGCTTCAGGTTCAGATTCTGATTCTGAATCAGACACAGATACAGCGCCTGGCTCCTGCATCCTGCAGGCTCCATTATGGTGGCTCCCTTTGCCACAGCCGCCATTAATTAGCATCTGTTATGTGGCCTGTGCTCCGCGCTGCGTGCTTGAGTGCGTTTTCCCGAACCCCTCTTGAATTTCCCAACCAATTTACACCCACCCAGCGAAGCAAACGCGAGGCAATCTCACCACGCGTATGATTTACACTTTGTTATTTTTAAATTATTGCCCCCGCCATTTTGTTCGGCCTTTCTTTTACTTCCGCTTTCGATGCGGAAAGAGAAGGAAAGAGGAAGCAAATGAGGGAGGCTGGTAAATTTTATGTGGTGTTAATTTTAGCATTGGGAGCTATTACATAAAAACGGGAAATTTATCTTATTGATTTTTTCGAAATTCGAGTTAGCTACACAGCTTTGGCGGAGTATTGATCTACAAAGTTTGAGAAACCAATTATTGATATTTTTTATTATTTATTTGCATTTTATTAATTAGTATGCATTGGTATTAAGTTGAATAAACTATAGGAAAGGTAAAATTTATGAATATGTACTAAAATTACTCACACCGCATTAATCCTGCAAAGCAACTATGTGATAAATTTAAAAATTATTATTATTAAACTGTTATTTTACGACGGAGTATAAATATTTCAAACAAAGCTCAGGTAGTAATTAAAAAGGATTATATAAGCCAATATTCAATTTGAAACGTTAGTTGCGATAGGAATGAGGACAGAAAAGTATTTTCCTTGAGTGGCAGTTGCAGGCATTGTTAAGCTGTTAGTCCGACTAAGAGGACACGCCACTCAAGTCCAGTTAAGAACGTAATTAAGACACAATGTGGCCACACAATGGAATAGCAAAGTGCACTTCTCACTTTTCAACAAATGCGAGTGGAAAACAAAGGGAATATAATAGAATGGGCGCGCTCAAGTCTTAATAAGGAAAGAAAAGCAATTGGAAGAGGCAGCAGTAAAATATAGACCACGGGGAAGGTCCTGCCCAAGTCCTGCGAGCCGCCTGTGATTGACATAAGCAGCAAAACGAGCTGCAGATTAGCGTTCCTCCTCAAATTGCCAGCACTTACATCCACAAAAAGCGGCAAACAGATTTATAAGGGGCACAAAAATAGACAATCTCGATTGCATTACGGGCACAAAGCTCAGCAGGTCCGCAGGCTTCTTTTCCTTCGCCCAGGTATTATCCTTAAACGGCTTCAAGTGTAGACAAACAAATGCGGCGCATAAATTGAGGCTGCCGTCGCCTTTGTCGCTCTGTCGATTATGGCGGAAGCCATAAAAGGTGCAAAAATACCGCTTCGTAAGCTGTTTAGGGCCAGAGACAAAGGCTCCCAGTCCGCAGGAGGAGCGGGATCAGGACTAGGTACAACAGCAGGAGCAGGAGCAGGAGCAAAAGCAGAAGCGTCAGCCCGGCCATGGGCATTAATAAAATAAGGATAATTGGCATAAGCATAATCACGTTTAAGCCAACAGCCAACGTGCAGCTGAGACAGGAGCTGGAATTAGAAGTACACTTCACAGTAACCCCTATTCCAGTGTCCATTTTTATTGGGCCTATCTAGAGCTACTGGTTTTCGGGTTTTCAGAAGTTTCAGTTTCTTTCAAATTTAAATTTCATATCACATAATTATCGAAATGCAGCAAATATTTTATATTACATTAGACGTTTATGAAGATTTTTTTAAGTGGACTGGCCAACTATCGTGCAGTCGCTTCTGCCACTCCTGCTGCTCCTGGAGTGAGTGGCTCATCACTGCTCCCGGGCGCCTTTGTTGCCAAGCCATTTTAATTTGTTCGCCGGGCCAGGCCGACTGCCTTTTGCCACTGCCTTTATCGGCAGTCAACACGCAGCCTTTTCATGGCAAATTATGGCGTTTAGGGGCCGCTGGTTGCCCATCCTGAGGCCCAATTGCCCGCCTGCTCCTCCACTTCTCCACTCCTCCTCATCGCCGCTTTGGCAGTATAATACTTTCATTTCTTTGGAGCCCCAGGACAGAGACGACGGCAGGCTGTCTGGCTTCCTGGTTGCCTGGCACTCGTTTCATTTAACGAGTCGCGTCTATGTTTACTTTGGTGCCAGACGAGCATTGCTCCGGGCATCACAGGCGTGGCATGGATCGCAAAAAGGGGCAAGTTCGCCGCCGAGTCCTTTGAAGTAATTATAATGGCAGATTTAAGTTAATTTTTAAACAATGTCGCATGGGGGCATGCATCTCGCACTTTCCCTCTTTGTCAGCCACTAATCAAATTTCCCCAGACTTTCACCCAGGACAATAACTTCTTAAGTGCTCGGCGAAGTCAGTGGCTAGACAGGGATTAAATCATAAAAGTTTTCGCAGCCCTTTATGGTCCATTTTATACAAAACAACTGTTCCTGGTGGATTTCTTAAAATCAAAATGAATTTTATCATTTATATGCAGTGTGCTAAGTGCTTTAGTCTAATAGAAATTTGTTATTAATTTTCAGGCAATTAATTGCGGTGACATGGACAGTTATCCACTGCTGCAGTACCTCGATCTCTCGCATTCCCGCATTGCCCAAGTGGAGGACGATGCTCTGGGACGACTGGAGCTCCTCGAATCCCTTTTCCTGGACCACAATCTTCTGATGCGAGTGCCCAGTAGCCTGCCGCCATCGCTGGAACACTTATTTCTGCAGCACAATCAGATAATGGAGCTCCCGGCGCAGGCTTTTGTGGGATTGGTCAATCTGCAGACTCTGGACTTATCCAACAACCGATTGATTTTCCTGCCCCCACTTTCGCTGCCCAAATTGCTAACCCTGAATCTGCAATCGTCAGGAGTGGAGAGCGTTAGCCAATCGATAGTGCACACACTGCCACAGTTAAGGGATCTTTTGCTAGAGGACAACCCTATCAAGTGCAGCGATTTGCTGGGCATTGCCGAATGGGCCAGTCCATGCAGGTCAGTGGATGTGGGTCAATCGAATGGGCCAAGCGTGAGTGGGCGGGTGGATTTGAAGACGGAGTATCTGCAGTTCCACAATTTTAACGAAAACTTCAGTAGCCGAGAGTGTGGTATAAGAAAACCGGAAAATTACACAATGCCGCCTTCTTGCAGCGTGATAAGGGCAGCAGCAACATCAACAACAACACCCAGAAGTATGTCAAAAGTTAAAAAGTCAAAAGAAGCACAGGCAACAGCAACATCAGTGGAAGTAGCGGCGGCAACAGCAGCAACATCAGAAAAAACAGACATACAAGGAACATCAGCTGCACAGTCCACTGCAGCAGCCACAACAGCGGAAAAAGAAACAATCCCAACAGCAACATCGAGCGACACCACAGCAACACCAACACTCGCAGCAGCAACAATGCAATCAGCTGGCAACAGCCTCGCCCAGTTAACCACAAAAACGTTGCGGCCAACAGAAACAACTTCGTTAGCGCAACTGCAGCGTCGGCAACAAATGCCTGGCATGCCGGCCAAAACAACAGAAACGCCAGCAAAGAACCTGCCAAGTTTGGCCCAGACAAAGGCAACAACAGCGCTTCCCATTTTGGCAACACGAGATGCCGGCACAGCAACAACAGAAATAAATTCCGACAACCCAACGAGCATTAGCGGTGCCACAAAAACAGCAGCAGCATCAGCCGCTGAAATAGCAACAACACCAGCAATTGAAGTGCCGCAAACCATTTTGGCCGGCAAAAAATCTGACAAAATGCCAGCCGATAAGGCACAGGAGACTTTATTAAAATACCCAACAAGGGACACGTCTGGTCAAATTGCAACACCACCACACAAACATGCAACACTGCAGCTGCACGTTAAGGATCGACATCTAATTGGCACACCGCTGCTGATGCACAAGGGCGATGTCCTTTTGGTGGATGCCGAGCAGTTGTTGCTCCCTGGTACGGCCACCGTGGCGGATGCGGATTCGGAAGTTCTGGACTCCAGCCAACAACATCAGTCAGCGGAGCAGGAAAAGCACCAGTCAGCGACTGATAAGCGACAAGCGGATGCAATAAACGGCGACACAAAGGCGCCGGCGAAAAGCCACAAAAAGAAACCATCGCTGAGCATCAAAAAGATGACCTACAGTACCAAGCATGCGGCAAAAACCGTGGAGGACATGGCAGCTACCTCGAAGACACCGCAGCACCAACATAGCAGTGTGAACACACCCAAGGAGGCTATTCCCGAGGAGCTGAGCACCTTTGCCCAGCTAAAAGCATATGTAGAGCTAAAGAGCGAATCGAAACCGGAACACCTAATGGATCAGCGGGAGGGAACCCATCACAATCTTACAGGAAATCATCCCGGTGTTATGCTCCTGGTGTCCTGCGTTTTGTTTATCGTGCTGCTTGCCGGTCTGGCCCACGTCTACCGCTGTGAATTGCCTTGGCAGAGGAGCAGCCGTTCTGGACAATCACGACCGCATCATCAAAGGCATCTAAACGAAACGGATGACGCGCACAGCTTCCTGCACTATCAGGGATCTGTGAATTCCAATGGGGGAGATCCGGCTCGCCTGCAAAAGTGGCACCACTGCACCCGGAGAGAAGCTCCCTACAGCTCCCCGCTGCACAATCTACAAGCGCGCGAACTGCAACAGCAACGCTGCCAGCAATTCTACAGCTCCTCTCTGGCGGACAGAAGCTCCTCCACCTCGTCTTCCTCGCCGGGAAGCAGTCGCAGTAGCCTGCACTCGAACAGCAGGGATGACAGCTACTATATAGAGATGGCACCCAGTAGTCCACCAGCAGCCAACCTGCCTAGTTTGCCCATGGAACTCTTGGGCAGCAGGAGCAACGCCCTTGGCTGCCGGGCGGACCGAGTGGCAGCCACCGATCTGGGCGGTACGACAGAGGCGGTACCTTCGTCGGCGGCGACCATCAAATCCGTGAGCAGCAGACTGATGACGCCCAGTTCGCGCAGGCTGAACATCTGGTGACAAACCGTGTTTGGTCAGCGGCAATATGCGCCCTTTCAGTAGAGTAAAAAGTAGAAATGAATGGAGTTCGAACGACAATCGCCAGCTGCCAAAGTCGGGGCTAAATGGGAAATATTGCAATTCTTTAGAATATTATTAAAATATTTCTTTCTAATTATTATTTACGTATTTAGCGATTTACATAATTACGAGATTTAATTCCCTGCATTCTGTGCCAGGTGCTCGTGATTTGAAGAAATGCATTACCAAATTTAGGAAGTCGTAAAACTATAAAGTGCTCGGCCACGCAATGTGTCCTATCGAATTTTTGTAGGTCGATTCTCAAAATAAAACTCCCAGGAACACCAAACTGGTACTACGATTGCAAAGGGAAAACATAAATGCCAGCAGCTTTAGATATTATTTTCAGTTGGCTCCCCTCTTGATTTATGATGCCTGAGAGCCCACACATTGCAGACCTCTTAGCGATTCGGTTAGCAGCAACAATTTGTCATAAATTCCTGTTACGTATACGCCGCGTAGTCCAGGGCAACTAAGGCGCTCAGAAGAGGCGAGGGGCGTAGACAAGCGGCCAAGTCAAATGGCCAAAGAGCCAACGCCAGCAAAGTTTTTACGAGCCAGCCGAAGAAGACGATGTCCATCTTGTGGTCGTATTTGGGTCAGTTTACTGGCCAGGACCACCGTGTGCGGCCCAGTTAACTTTATATAAGTGCCTGTCCGCTTGCCAAGATTAAGTGTTTCGATAGTCATGCATATAAAAATGAAATATCGATCAAGTATTAAATAACAATTTAGTTTATGACAGACCCAATTCAGTAATCAGAAGTTCAGGCAGCGCAGGCTGAGCCAGGCGAATTAATAGAGGAATATGGGTTGGTAGTAAATTTGATATGGTAGTTGGAATATAATACCATCCAAATTGGAAAATTAGGTGTGGCTCGCCAACAGAGCAGTGGAAAAAATAATAGCTCCTTGACCACTTTAACTCGCTAACACTTTATTTGATATGGTGAACCACTTTCGAATTTCCAACATTCAAGCCGAGTCCTTCCTGCTCTTAGTATCCTTTGAGCCATGCAGCGCTTCCATGTTTGATGCTTTGCCAGATCTTAAACTACTTTCACAGCTGCTACAGATAACAGAGTTTAAAGTGCAATCTAATTAAAGTTTTGCATCCATTCCCACCCACCCTTTGGATGCTAGAAGTGTTTGCTATCTGCATTGGCATCTAGAATTCTTCACGCCATTTGCAGAAGCTGGGAAAAACGGCCACAAAACACCCTCTTTCTTGAGAATCAACCCGCACTTAACCTCATTTTACAAATTGCCCAACACAGCATATGGTGTAAATCCAGCCAAATGGCCAGACATCTAATCCGCCACGCCGAAAGTGAAATGTTGTAAAACTATTTGGGGGCTATACGTACATGTATCTAACGGACATCAAAATAATGTGGCTGCAAATCAAATTACAAGACACGCGGCTGGCTCTTCGGGGGTGGAAAAATGGCTAGGGGAACGGCCAAAAGAACGTCCCATGGACATAGAACACAACAATTACATTAAGACACGATAAAAAGTTGTGCAACAATCTTGCAACCCCAACCACCGAACCAAGCCAACTACGCCGAACTTAGTCGAAGATGGTACCATCTCCTCCGCAGGGCAAACCACAGTCATTGCACAGCTTTTTCAACTTTTTGCGGCTTTGTAATTGGAATACAAGAAGGAGGCGCGTGCACACAAGCGGCAGCAACAGGAAACAGTCGGAGAATGTGAAATACACAGTTAGATGCGAGTTAGAAAGCACTCGGAAAAATAATCGGAACTTATGGTCCACGGATACTGGGCAGGAATGGCATTTTAAGCAAATGGGAGAACAGACTTGAACTTGAAATCCTACTGAGCTACATTGCATTTTGTACTTTAAGCGGTATACTTTTTTTTTTGCTCTTAGAAAGTTTGTTCTAGTGAAGCAGAGTTCATATGAAAAATCAGGTGGCGCGTGTGTACATTTTCTACAAAATGTTTAGATTTAGACTTTCAAAGTGTCTTAATAGACATTCTTGAACATCATTTTTAAAGATTCAAATACCTAAAAAGTTTTGCATTTAGCAAACATTTGTGCCTACTTCCCACTTATGTGACAATTTAGGTAAACCATACCATGTTTTCCCCCAGTGCAGATAGGTACAACTTCTTTGGCTTGGGAGAGAATTCAAGGAGGCGTTCAAGCAGGGTCCGCTTAAGCAATTCAGAAGGATTTATTTTCGGCCACAAAAGCGAAATGCCCGACAAAGCGCTCCGAACAACAATTAAAGTAATGCTGACCAACAACCCCATACGCCCGGTTGGGTGGGATTAGATGGCGGGGAGTCCTTTTCGGTCCAGTTGAGTGGACGAGTGGAGTGGCGTCCAATGCCAGGACGCACAAAATCTTAATTAAGGAACTTCCAAGTGGGCAAGTGTCGAACGGCAGGGAATGGGGGCATTTTTTGAGAGTTTCGCAAGGCGAAGAACCTTTTTATTTGTCGGCTTGCCAGCGCAGCACAAAATTCGCCTACAAAAGAAACCCTACGGCAGAGTGACCCAGAGACTCTGGTTGGATTTAGTCCTCGGGCATTGTCAAATTTAATGAAGGTTTCCTTTTTTGGACTTTGTGCTTATGACACTGGCCAGCTGGCCAAGATTTAGGAAGTTTCTAGTCGAGAGGCAAGCAACTGAAATGAGTTAATTCGATATTTGACACTTTAGGAGCTCGCATTCCACACAATCTCGGTATGTGTGATGGGTTCCAGGGCTCCAGAGACCCAGGACTCTTGTCTCCTGCACAGTTAATAAAGTTGGCCCGGACCAGGACGTAATTATTCGCCTGCTAAATGGCTTTTGGACGACATTTGGGGGCAGTAAATGGGGGCGATTTAGAAAATTATGTGAAAATAAGTTGCCTTTTGTTTGGCCATTGGCCGTTGGCAGTTGGCGGTTGTTCTGGATCGTAAATAACGTTCATAATTGGGCAGACTCGAAAAGTTGTGGGGCAAAGGCAAACAGAACTCGAAATGTACATCTCGGCCGTATGGATAGCAAACAATAATTAAACTTAATTGCGCTGTACATTGAAACGTCAAACTGTAAATTATAGTTAATAACATTTACTTGTAGTGGAGTTTACTTGAAATAAACTTTTCCATTCCGAATATTGCATGTACAATTTCCATAGAATATGTATTTAAAACTTATCAAAACAGAGTGGATTAAAAGTAAAATGGAACAAAGCGAAAGCCAGGAAACTACAATTCGAGTAACGTTAATATTTGCATTTAATTTATCGAAAATCAAAGTAAAATGCGATAAAAACCCACAATAAAAACAAAAACTAATTGCCAAATATTTGACGTACAGTTTGTAGCGATAGCCATTAAAACCTTTATATGTACGGTTACATATATATACACATATAGAAAGAAGGAAATGCGATAAAAGTGAGATTCATGTAGCGCAAAGCCGAGCAAATAATTAGTAAACAAATACTTCTATTTACAAAAACACAGCAAATATTTAGTTAAGCCAAAAAGACGCGCAGCATTTTAATTAAACAACAGAAAATCGAGAGCTCTCAGAAACAGATGCGAAATGCAAAAACATCCAATAAGTAAAGGTAAACAATAGTTGCAGCATAATTTTCCGTGTGTATTTGTAAATAGACAACTAAAACCAAATATGAAAATATAAAAAAAAAACCTGGGACAAACCAGCAAATCAACAAAGAATATTGGAAAAAAAATATATTTGTTGGAGGACAGTTCCAAATACATACAGATAAATATATGAAATTAGTGTTAGATTTAATGTTGCCAAAATCGGAGCAACAGGGGTTGGTAAAAAAAAACCAAAGACATGTATGAAGATTAAAAATAACAATAGCATTAAGTGAAATGTACTATTGATATAGCAAATATGGATAGCAATTAAAATTGTAAAGATAACATGACAAACATTTTATGAAATCTTCTTGAAAACCAAAACAATTTTAATGCAAACAAGAAACCGAAAAAAGTGTGAAAATAAATTGAGAAATTTAATTTGAAAGAGTAAAATCACTACGGTATCACTGTATTTTTATTTCATGGGGGATTAAGTTAACATATATTTCATATATGGCACAATGGAAAAGTGCGTTATTGTTGGGCACTGAAAGAGAATATCAATTAAGGGAAAGGAAAACTTCGAAAGGATGTGAAAAATGGGAGATGCAAGAAGCATGGGCAATAATAATGCGTTTTCACAGATACTTCACGGACTTAAAGTTAAAGGTAAAACAGCTACATCAGCAGGTTAAGGATGTTAACCCACATATTGAAAAAGAAAGATCAAACCAGGCGAGCAAGGACAATAAAAATAAACGTTAAATTAGTGACACATGCGGCAGTTAAGCTGGGCATAAATGTGAATGAAGCCACGGCTAAATTATGCCAATACACACAGGCCAGAGCGAGGAAAACTCGAGGAAAACTCCCGGGAGGTCAGGGCCCAACAAAACGGGGAACATTTTTATTTCAAATCCAATTATTTCACATCGAAACTGCAATCAGATGATTGCGTTCAGCAACAGGAAGCGTTCACATGTACATTAATACGGATGGTTGTGGGCATGTGTGTGTGTGTGTTGGTGGACAAACGATGCTGTGAAAATGGCCGACAAAATGAAAGTCAATTGGTTTTTCTTGTTTTTCCCTCCACCGTTTTCATCCTTTTGTATTCTTTCCCTTTTGTGGCGTTTTTCTTTCTTTCGATACAAATGTCGTTAGCATCGTGAGTAAAGGGGCGGGAAAAGAGGAAAAACTGCCGCCACATTGGGAAACTCGGCGCACATGTCAAGAAATTGCTATGCGCCCTTGGACATTCATTCGAATGGGCGGCGGGGAATTAAATATTCAATATTGCATCGGGACAAACACCCGACATTCAATAACGCCAAAAACTTCCTCATGCGTTTGGGAGCTGAAATGCGTGCGCAATAAAAAGGTTAATGGTAAAATAATAAAAATGTAACGAAATTTTGTGACATGCGGCGACAGTTTGATGAGCAAATGTCATTCCCTATCAATTTTTTGCTCCACACTTTGATGGGTGCAAAAGGTGAGAGGTTGTGGCACATTCGACCAGTTGCTTGGCAATTCACTTTTTGCGATTCTCGATCCTGCTGCTGGTTCAGAAGTGCCCCGTCAGCAGTTAATGCAGTTGGCATTTGACTGATGGCAAAGCCATCCGAAAAGTCTAGGCCAGAAGGACATTATCTCTGATTAACCCGCATAAGCACTGAGCGGTGGTCAGAACGCAGCTCTGGAAAGCTCGAAAAGTAGATTCGTATCACAGGAAAAAATATCTGATTTTACGCTGTCAGCTTAATTGAAACAAAATAAGTGTTTACCGACAATTTTAAATTAACTAATTACATAATGTACATTAAAAACACTAAACAAATACTGTGCAGGCAAATTTACAAATGACTTAAAATATCTTGTTTCATACAGTTTATATTAGATAATAAGCAAAAAGACTTCTCCCAACTACTATAGCTGTATTATTTTTAGGTTAATTTTTTTCATACTTTCATCTCAAAAAAAATTAATTAATTTGTCAATAATTTCTTCCAGTGCCAGGCCACTCTAAGACAATCTGTACTTTTGCCCTAATGAGTATGCGAAGATAAACGGAAAACGGGAAAATGCAAGAAGTAAAGGGCAGGTCAATGGAAATTTTCTCTGGCAGCTAACTGCTAATTTTTTTGCAATTTACTGCAGCGGTTGCTTCAATTGAAAAATGTTTGACTTTGTTTATACGCGTGTGTGGGGCTGGCTGCCTTTTTTAAACTTGTATATGAGAGAGCACAGCTGGGGGAAAACTTTATCTAATTGATTTTCGGAGCAGTGCAGCCAAATGGGGCTCCATTAGCGTCACTCATGCCGAAAAAAGAAAAAAAGGGAAGGCAAACTAACATTTTTTTCCTTTCGCTTTTTATAAATAAATATGCACAAAATTCTGCGGGCTGTTGATGTGCTGTGGGACCAAGAAATAAAAAATACACACGCAGATAGCCGTACACCGCGAGGTTGGCACACTGGCAACTTTAAATTGCATTCATTTTTAATGCAGCGCCGCCAAAAAGCACGGCCACATTACGTATACGCAACGTAGTGCACTCCAGGGACACATTGCTCCATCATCCGCCCAAGTGCGTGTAGGGAATCAGGGAGCAGCGATCCTAGGGGTGTCGCATCCATGTGTAACACTCCCAGGGCATCCCCCAACTGTCGAATGTAAAACGGCTCGTATTATACCATACGGGCAGAGTTTTTATACGCTTGCAGCGGGTATTATCAACGCTGCTGAAAGTTTGCAATCCTATTAATTAAATTGGGGAAAAAATTGAAATCTTATTTTCATAAAAACATTTTTGGATACCTGCGCTCCAGCATTGAATGAATTCCATCTCTGCTCAGAGTTTTATTTTTAATTCCTTTTACAAAATCCTCATAGGCCAACGGATAAAACTGCATTCTTTTTAGCAGTATACAAACAATATCAGTAATTCATTTAACAAAGGCTGTATACTATGACTACTATTTTTCATTCCATTATTATACAATTTAATCGTTGGTTAGGCTTAAACCTACACGTAATACTTTGTAAGCCGTTAGCGTTCCACAGGATTGCAAATTTTGTTGTTGAGCTTTTAGCTCTTAGACAAGGAAAAATAAATTCCTCACGTGTCAGCTTTGATAAGGGTATTCCAATATAGCCAAATGTTCCTGGAAAATCAGGTGAAAGGGGTTTTGGGGGCGGGAACGATTTCATTTCATGGTTTTGCACTCGTTATGACTTTTTCCCAACTCTACACCCCTTTCTATTCCCCTCGCCCGAACTCCTGCATCGGTCTCACCGCTTTCCTTGCTTTTTATTGTCGCCCAGTTGCGAGCTAGTGTCCCCAAAGTATGCAACGTTTTATGTTTACTAGAGGTAAAATTCCGCACACAAGTTTTTCCGCATTTTTGTGTGTTTTTTCCAAGCGGGATTCTAAAGTCTTTGCGCCCGCCAACAAACTTTTTGTTTTTTCAATTTAAAGTTAAATTTTTCGGCTACTTTTTCACATTACACATTTTGAATGTCATTGCCGCCAACAGTGGGAGGCCCAAAGGCCCGAAAATCCCACGAGAAAAGTGAGAGCACAGGTGCGGTTTGTGTGTGTTTATTTATGAAAAACAGAAAAAATAGCGAGACGAATGGGCAAATAAAAAAACAGAAGGTAAACGAACACAATGTAAATTTAGCTAAACTTAATCGCATGCAGGTTTTAAATTACACAAAGCCTCGCATTACTAATGTTTTAAATTTGTGCACTTTTATTTATTCTTTATAAAAAATCAATTTTATCCATTTCTGGTCTGAAATGCTTGCTCTTCCTACAGAACACACACAAGTATGGCTTTAAAGTTTAAACCCGTGCACTTGATTACGCTGGTTATTGAAAAAAAGCATAGACTATAGAGCACATGCACATTAGTAAACGGTTTTTTCAAAGACATTATCGAATTATTTGCGAAATTGAAAAACTAAAAGTGAGTTCTGTATGATGAAAAGCCAGCACAAGAGCTAAGTAAACTAATCAAGGTAAACGAAGAGGATAACTCTCCAGCAGAAAGTTACGACCCAATAAAAATGGCCAGAAGAAAGGCAAATCAGTGTCGAGAAAAGTCACCTAATTGAGTAAGTGTCATCACCGGACCATCCGCATCCGCATCCAGATCCACATCCGGAACTCTCGGTTCACTACATATACATATACAAATACATATACATAGAGGAGTGGAAGTGTGTACTGATGGGTGTTGTGGTTGACGTCTGGTATCGCACTCCTTGTGGCAGTGGATTTGGAAAACGGGGACAGCAGACACGACACGTCAACTTGCAAATATACTGCTAAAAGGGGGTAGGAGTCTTACACCCAAAGAAATTGCTATTAACCCCGACTCTTCTTAGCAAAAGTGATGAAAAATCAACGAGATAGAATCAGCTATCAACAAATGATTGTAAGAGAATACTTAAAACCCCTTTGTAGACTTATTTATGCATGTAAAAGCCTCTAAGACGTAGAAATTGTACGGAATTAGGGTCTGTTCGATTCTGGTTAGTCAAAATATGCTTGAGGTATACTCAGTATGCTGTTTTCAAGATTTCATGCCCTGATTTTATTCTCTGTGTGCAGTTCGGTAGTGTCCAAATGACTCTGTTCTTGTTGTGTGCTGTTGTGGATATTTTATTTCATTTTATTGTATTTTATTCCTTTCCTGGCTCGTATTTTTTGCGCACTTTCCGTTGTTCTTGGGCGAGCTTTGTTGTGTGCTTTTGTTTTTATTTGTGTTCATAACATAAACTTTGTATTTTTATGCGGGACCAAGAGCGGGGTGCAGCAGCAGCAGAAAAAGACAGGGGACACAGGACACAGGATTCAGGATTCAGGACGCAGGACCAAAACAACGACAACTGGAGAGACCAACTTGTTTGCGCTGGGAAATCAGTTAAGGACTTGGCGCACAGACTTGGCAGGACTTGAAATAATACACATATACACAAATATATTCACTGTCCCCGTTAGCGCTTGGCATTTTTTTTTGGTTTTCTTTTTTTTTTATTCTTGTTTTAACACTTGAGTGGATTTTTGTGTTATTTTTGTACGAGTCCTGGGCGTTGATTTCGCTTTGCCAGGGGGATCCGGAAGCGGCGGGACAAAGGACTCCTCATTTATTATGCGCGCCACAAATCGAAATCAACGAAGCAACTTGATTAAGATTTAACTAAGCAAACAGACTCTCATGCAGCACTCTCACACCTCCTGCGATG